GCCTGCCGCCGCCACGGTGGGGGTGTTGGTTCCCGGAGGTGCCGTGCCCGGGAGGCCGCCCCCTGGAGAGGGCTCCTTCTCTGAGGAGGGCGGCGGGCGGCGGCGCCATCCATGTCCAATGCACGGGGTCGGAGTTCCACGGGCCTCCAGGCCTCCACCCGGCTTGTCCAGTGGTTCCTGATCCGACCTCACCGTGCTGCTCCACGACGCACGCAGGAGGTCCTGGTCGGTGCCCGGGCTGGCAGCGGCTCCGCCGCCGAGCATGCCACGAGGCGGCCGCAGTCGGCGGGGGCGCCCGTGGCGCGCGTCGCCTCCCGCATGGCCGAGCCGCGGGAGGGCGGGGGGGGGCAGGTGCTGGCCCAGTACAGCGGCTGGGAGGTCGTGCTGGAGACGGGCAAGGGCAAGGGCCCGCTCGGTGGGGCGGGGGGGGGAGGGGGCCAAGGAGTGGAAGTCGGAGGGCACCAGCTAGACACCCACCCACACCGATCCTGGCCAGGCCGAACTTGGGCCCAGGACTGATGCAAATGGCTTCCTACCCGAGCCACGGTGGCGCATACTTCGATCTTGGGTTCAGGATGGGCCTGGTCAGCATCGGTGTAGGTGCGTAGCTCGCGTCCTCCCAGGCATGGAATGTAATGCACTGGAGGTGGAGTGCACAGCACTAAATCGATTACGAGCCCTTGCTGCTATCGCATTGTTATGCCGATTCATGGGCCCAGAGTGGATAGCGACACTTGGACAAGATTTCCCAGCCGTGACCGGTCATCTTGAATCGATCGGTGGGGCGGGGTGGTGGTGGTGGGTGGGAAATGCAGGACGATGAGGAGGCGGATAACCAGAGTAAATCCAGGATGCGCCTACGATTCTGCAATACACCCTCGTGTCCCAAGTTTTCCCAGAAGTGCACAGAAAGTTTCATTTCCAGTGCAAGAAGCTCCCCCTTGAACGATGCGCACCTCGTGGGCCTGCCATGCATGCGAGAGTCCCATTTTGAGAAGGAACCGTTCCCTATCCGTGTGATTGTTGCACAAGTTTACGCGTCTGGGCTCTGGATGGCAGGACGTCTTAAGGGAGAGCCTCACTTTGAAAAGGAACACTGATGTTCCCTAGGTTTTCGAAGGATTCTGACAGGTGCTTCGTTTTGGCCTTCCGACGGCCCAATACGGCCCAAGAGCCCCCAAAGATCGCCCAAAGATCGCCCGAGAGGCCTCCAAGATGGCCCCAGAACGGTCCAAGAGGCCCACAAGACGGCCCCAAGACCCCCAAGACGGCCCAGGAGGCTTTTAAGACGCCAAAAATGGCCTCCTAGACGGCCCTGGAGCATTCCAAGAGGGCCCCGAGTCGGCTCAGAGAGGCCTCCCAAACGACTTCCGACGGCGTCGGACGGGTCAGGGGCCCACCAAGACGGCCGAAGATGGCACTAAGATGGCCCAAGACGGCCCAAGAGGCCTCCAGGAAGGCCCGAAAAGGCCAACATCATTGATTTGGCATGAGTTTTTGAAGGATTGCGGCAGCTGCTTTTTGTTCGGCCTTCCGACGGCCCGAGACGGCCCAAGTGCCCCCAAAGATCGCCCAAGAGGCCCAAGACGGCCCCCAAGACGGCCCAAGAGCCCTCCAAGACGTCCTCCAAGAAGGCCCGAAAGGGTCAAAATGGCCTCCAGGCGGCCAAGATGACCTTCAAGATGCCCACGTGTTCCCCGAAGGCTTTCCAAACCGATTCGGGGAACACATGGTCCGATAGCCTGGCAGGTCTGGCCTCAACGTTCGGCCAAATAGGCGCTTCCACAAAGGCAGTGGGCGGCGGTGATTCGCCGTAGGCGTCTACGATACACGCATACATACAACGTACACATGCATGCTTGCGCTTGTATTCGTGCATGCTTTCATGCGTACGTATACGCATGCATTCGCACAGACGCAAATGCGTACAGAAATGCAGCATGTATAGAACACGTACGCAGCATCCATACACAGGCGACGAGGGCGCCGAGAGCCCAAATTCGATGACTTTCTATTTTTTTCCACTGTTTTTGGCTTTCTCGCCTTTTCAGCTTCCCGACCTTCCACGACGGCCTAAGAGAGAGCCCAAAGACGGTCCAACATGGCCTCAGGACGGCCCAAGAGCCGCACAAGACGGCTGACAATGGCCCCAAGGAGGCCCAAGAAAGTGAACACGAACCGAATAATCCAGCTTTCCGCCCCAAAATGGCCCCTAGGAGGCCCCAAGAAGCCCCACAGAGGCCCCCGAGAGGCCCCCAAGAGGCCACCAAGAGGCCCCAGGAGGACCCCAAAAGGCCCCAAGAGGCGACAACACAGGCCCGAACAGGGCCCAAAGAGGCTTCCCGCACGATGGCTCCGAGACGGTCCAAGACGCGCTGAAGACGGTTCCAACACCGCGCGACGCCCTGAAGAGGGTTCCAAGATGGCCCACGAGCACGAGAAAGCGTCCAGAAGGTTCTCCAGGGGCCGTCCCAATCATGTTCCGGGAAGGGGTCCGGGAACATGCCGTGCAGCACTCCAACCTGCCGTGGAGCCTTCCTAGGTGAATCCAGGGGAGCCAGGGACGGCTCCCCAAGCTCGCCAAACTCCTCCAAACCTCAGGCTCGAGGGTGGGTGCTCCGTTCGGCGTCCCCGAATCCTCCTTTTCCTCCTCCTCTTCTCTTCCCCCTTCCTTTTTCACCACTCGAGCCCACCCCATCCCTGCCAGCCCTCCTCCACCTGCTCTTCCTCTGCCAAAAATGCCCCGACTCGCCGACAGATTGTTAGAAGACGCCCAAGATGGGCTCCAGACGGCCCGTGCGACCTCCAAGATGCCCCTCGAGGCCTCCGAGAACACTCCCAAGAGGGCGTCAAAAGCTCAAACTTATTAACTCTTTCTCGGACAACGCACATGTTTTGAGTATGCCTCTCGGACCGTCTTCAAGCCATTTTGGACGTCTTCGAGCGCTCTTGCACCGTCTCGGAGGCGTCCTGAACAGTCTGGGGAGCGCTTTCCAGCCTTCCGAAAGCTCCCCGAAGGCCCGCAAAGAGTCCCAGACCCTCAGTGGCACAGTGCGCACCGCGGGTGGCGGGGAGTTTGGGAAAAGTGGGAGTCGTCATCATCATCATCATCATCATCATCATCATCATCATCATCATCATCAGCATCATCATCATCATCATCATCATCATCATCATCATCATCATCATCATCATCATCATCATCATCATCATCATCATCACCATCATCATCATCATCATCGTCATCATCATCATCATCATCATCATCATCATCATCATCATCATCATCATCATCATCATCATCATCATCATCATCATCAGCATCAGCATCAGCATCAGCATCAGCATCATCATCACATCATCATCATCATCATCATCATCATCATCATCATCATCATCATCATCGTCGTCCCCCCTTCATTTTCACCACTCAAGCCCTTCCCATCCCCGCCGTGAGCGCGATTGGAGCTTCTTTTTGGCCCTGATGGGGGGGCCTCCCTGGGGCGTCTGCGGGCCTTGAGGCCCTCATGGGGAGCCGCGGCTGGCGCGGTAGCGGCGGAGAATGCCATTAAGGCCTCCTTCTTTGTCCTCGTCCTCCTCCTCACCCTCTGCCCGTTTTTCTGCCATGACCTCTTCGTGGCATTTTCGGGCTGCCCATGGCCCCTGGCGAGGCCAGATATGGAACCCATCAAGACCCCATGCCACCCCGCGCCATCAAAAACCATGGCGAGGCCCAGAGCCTCAGAAAGTCCACCTTAACCCTACAAGTGCCCCCAGAAAACGCCAAAGAAGAGCGCGAGACGTCGAGGATATGCAGGTATTCTCTACTTCAGGCGCGCTCGCCGGGATGGGTTCAGAATTAGAGGCTGGTTGTCAGAGTGCAGGGATGTTTCGGCGAAGGCGTTCGGGTCAGACGTTAGGGTCAGGGCGTCAGGGTTCGGGCAAGGGTGTTCGGGTCCGGGCGTTAGGCTTCGGATGCGAGGGTGTGGGTGTTCAAGCGTTAGGTCTCGTGTAGTAGGGCTTGGGTCCTCGGCGTTCGGGTTGGGGTCTCAGGGTGAGGGCGTCAGAGTAAGGGTGTTAGGGTTGGCGTGTGAGGGTGCGGGCGTTGGGCAAAGGGTAGTCGCGTTGGGATGCTCGGACGTTCGGGTATTCGGTTCAGGCCTTCGGGCTCGGGTGCTGGTGTTCGGTGATTGGGTTCGGGCGTTGGATCTTCTGTGATCGGATTTTAGTCTTAGGGTTAAGGTGTCAGGGCTCGGGTGTGCGAGTTTCGGCGTAGGGGTAAGGGTTACGGCGTGCGAGTGTTCGGGTGTTCGGGTTCAGCTGTTCGGTTAGGGCGTTCGGGCTCGGGTGGCCGGGTCACGAGTATTTGGGGAACACGCCACGGAATGGGGTCCATGCCTGCTAAGGCCGTCTTTGGAGCTGGCTACAACCTGAGCGCGCGCGATGTGTGTGTATTTAGATAGATATAGGTATGTATGTATACATGTATGCATGCATGTATGAATGTTATGTATGTTATGTATGTTTTGTATGTTATGTTATGTATGTATGTATGTATGTATGTGTATGTGTATGTGTATGTGTATGTGTATGTGTATGTGTATGTGTATGTGTAGGTGTAGGTGTAGGTGTAGGTGTATGTGTATGTGTATGTGTATGTGTATGTGTAGGTGTAGGTGTAGGTGTAGGTGTAGGTGAATGTGTATGTGTATGTGTATGTGTATGTGTATGTGTATGTGTATGTGTATGTGTATGTGTATGTGTATGTGTATGTGTATGTGTATGTGTATGTGTATGTGTATGTGTATGTGCATGTGCATGTGCATGTGCATGTGCATGTGCATGTGCATGTGCATGTGCATGTGCATGTGTATGTGTATGTGTATGTGTATGTGTATGTGTATGTGTATGTGTATGTGTATGTGTATGTGTATGTGTATGTGTGTATGTGTATGTGTATGTGTATGTGTATGTGTATGTGTATGTGTATGTGTATGTGTATGTGTACGTGTACGTGTATGTGTATGTGTATGTGTATGTGTATGTGTAAGTGTATGTGTATGTGTATATGTGTGTGTATATATATATATATATCTATTTATCCTGCGTGCGAAGCGGGGGGGCCTGGGAGGGGACCCCCAACACTCCATAGCGGGACCGGGCCGCCAGGGGCGCCCCGGACGGCCCAAGACCGCCCCAAACACAGCTGAAAGCCTACAGTCGCGGAAATATCGTTCTAGCACGCCCAAGATGGCCTCCGCATGGACCACAAGGCTTCCATCACGGCCCAAGGGGTCCCCAGGAGCAATCAAAAATGGGCTCCAAGATGCCCAAATCATTGATGTTCCTCATGTGTTGGGTTGATTTTAGCGTTTCTGCCTGTTCGGCTCCCCGACGCTCCAAGACGGTCCAGGA